TTCGGCATGCGGGCCTCCAAATACCAGCACCCGACAGATTGGCGCAGGGTGTTGTCAATCTGGCGAGACGCTTTGCATGGTTCTTCCTCGTCTGGCCTATCCCAACCGTCTGTTCGTACTTGGATGAGCGTTTGGACGGAACTTGTCGGTGTTCTTCAGTTCTCTGAACCTCATCGTGGGTCACATCAACGAGAGGTTCGGCCACCTGCTCGCTGACGTGAACAAACATAGGTGGTTGACCCTGGCGAAACTAGAGCTGTGCTCACAGGTGAGACCCTGCATGGTTTGTGTAAATTTCCCGTTTCCATTGTTTCTAGCGCAGCTGCTCTGTCTGGTGAAAAGTTACTTTTTTCTATACGCCAAAGGTGTACATGGGCAGTGTCAGGACAAGTCACGACGAGCGCGTTCGCAATCTATGAGTATTAGTAGGGCACTTTTATGAGCCCTCTTTGCTCTACTTTACGCTCTGCGAGAAGCATCGTCCCCCCCGCGCATGCGTGGCCCGCTCTGAGTTGGAGCGTATAGTTAGCGGAGTGAGCGTGCCCTCCGCTTCACAAGTTGTAGAGCGGACTGCCCTCAGCGTCCTTAGCGTGATCGCTTAGATCTCAAGATGGCTGCACTTACTCAATACGCGTCGATGTTTTTGACCGCGACCTCAGCTTGAAAGGGGCCGTATCAAGAAGTAAAGCGTACGCCCCGCGCGTAAAAAGTAAACCATTCGATTTGAGTTCTATGTAACACAAAACAGCATAATCAAACGAAGTGAACGAGTATCACTTTGCAACCAGCACGGCGTCGGTAAAGTCGTCGCGTTTTGTGGACGTCCTATGGCTATGCAGTCAGATGTACGGGTGCGCGTGCTTGAACGTCGATTATATCTGTGCATGCGCCCTCCTGTCGAAAATGCCACTGAAAGCTGACCACGAGCATAGCGCTCGCAAGCTGCACCAAAGAAACCATTCCCCCTCTCTTTATTTTTCCACACTCGCTCGCAACTTTTGAATTGTTTAACTTTCCTCAAGAAATGTTTGCATTGGATTTCCTTGGTAGATTTAGAAAATAATAGAAACTTGAATGCAGCCTTTTTAAAAGTGCAACCCATGGTGCCGCTAGTCTTCGAGGCCGCCTTATTTTGGCCAAGTGTCTTGGTAGCAAGAGAGCTACATCATTGTTTGTCGCGGATGCGAGTCTAAATGTATTAGACACGAATGCTGCGTCAATACTGAATATGAAATGGGTTCTAGTCACAAGTTTCGCACTAAAAGCGATGCCCAAAATATGGCGGCCGAATATGTTACCCGGTGGTGTTTTGAAAAGAGGTACCAATAACGGTCGAAAGAATATTCGACGTCAATTTTTTGTCTGGTGAAAACCAGACAGGCATAAACAATGCAAAATTTAGCAAACACAACCCTGGACTTCTAAGCGATAGTGGTAGATTAGAACAGTTTTTAGAAGTTTCGTTTTGAATTCCGGCGTAGCGGGCCTCGCATGCACAGTTTGACGGCCTCAAACCTTAGCAGAATTAAGGAACAACTATATATATATATATATATATATATTAATTTACGATACCCAATTTTTTACAACCCTAAAATGGAAATACACTTTATCTTAGAGGAGTAACAAGTCCCATATCACATGTTTTGGTAGTGTTTAAATACTGCTGTGTTGTAAGAGTGTTTTTCTTTGTCTTTTTTATTAGGCCTTCAAGGACAAGGGAACACCCCTGAACAACTGTTGGGGTTTTGTTGACCGCACAGCATGCCCATATGCCGTCCATCAAAAAAATCAGAAGACCACAAGAGGGTGCTCGTCGTGAAGCATCAGGCAGTGATGTGCGCAGACGGCATAATTTGACGGCTGGAAGAAACCTACAAAGACCATGGGCATTTTTTTGTTTGTTTAATATTAGAATGCATAAAATTATCACAGTAAATCATGTTCAAGCTTTTGTACTGAGCGAAATACCTGTCCAACTGGGCTGAAAGGCATCTAGAAATATTTTAATAAAAAAACGTTTACTAACGACTCCCATTTTACTTCTCAGATGTGCGTGTGAATATTGCATCTAACCAAATTACAGTGTTACTGTTGAATTCAGCATTGTAAAAGTAGACTATGTTGCGTGGCCTTCTATTGCAAGAAAAGACCGTAGCACAAGTGAGGCAAAAACTAGGCAGGAGCTTAAGCTGAAAAACGCACTTTCATAAACACACAAAAGAAATAAAAAGAAGTGTATAATCAAGCAAAATGGTTTCATGTCACCCCCCAAGGCAGATACATACACTGCGCTCCACCGTTAATACGAACATGAAAAAAATCGCTTTTATTTGCAGTTTATTTCTTTGACAGCTATTGAAAAAGCTGAAAATTTGTCGCTCAGATTAGTGCCCCAAACGAGCGCTTTATTCCACACCAATAGGCAAATGTCAGCCCCTCGAATTTAAGGTGAAAAATGAAAACAGGATATTGATTGTTACCACTAACAGTGTCGCGCAGTGTACATAAACACCAAGGCACCATATCACAAACCGAAGCATACGAAGAAGAAAAGACTCATTTTATTGGGAAAAATAAGTAGAGATATAAATGGAGCACTCGCTTTCGCTAATTTTCACTGTCTTGCTGCCTGAAGTAACCAAACAAAATATCTGTCCGTTTGCCGACTGCTTTAGTCTTTGGTCTTTAACCTTTAATTTTTGGCTCTGGAGAGCCGCGGCACCGCGGAAAGCAGCAGCCCGTACCACCGAGGCCCGCGGTGCCGCGTCTAGGGAACATGGTAATGTGATGAGGATATACGTGCAAGATGACGACGACATAGGTTGTTGGTATTGGGGAGGGTGGCAGTCCGATTCGCAGAAGTCCAGACTTCGTGGAGGCGGGTTGGGCGGGTGAGCAGCGAGCTATGAGGATCTTGCACGCCGTTCGATCAGTGCATGAAGGAGCGCCAGGAACATAATGGCGCTATTGCTCACTTGGGTCCACTGGGGTCAAAGAATCATGCTCCAAGGAGGTAGTCCAGCCGAAGTAGAAGCTGCCGCCTCCGAGGAACCGAGGCCCAGGGCTCGGGGCTCAGATTGAGACACCGCCGTCGCCCGGTGTGTCATCCTCTCAACGTCGTCGTCGTCATCTCGCATAGAAAAATCGAGCCCGCTGGCTTAGACAAGGCAGCACCTGTTCCCACCGTTCAGGGGCCGTACAAGGATTGCGGCCAGCGATTTCTCGAAGCAGCCAGAGGTTCTTGACTACCGTGAAACGTTTTCTGGGGGACGCCTTTTCAAACAAAGTCTGCGCAGCTTCTTAGTGCAGCGAGGTTCATAAGGGTCAAGCGCGCTCCCAAGCATGATTTCAAATAGCGAGCACCCACCTTACCAGAAAAGCACCATCTAGTGAACCTTCACTGAGAGTGGAACGTACTTCTCAAAATGGCGACGATAGCGGAGCTGACGCTCCACGCTCAAATCCCAGAGCGGGTCGCGCATGCGCGATGGCGACTCCGCTTTCCATAGAGCGGAGCGGGAAACCGAAAACGGTCTACTAAAACTCTCTAATAGCACAGAGAGCGACCGTGACGACGCGACAATCTAGTAAAAGCCAATTACTACACTGCCACTGAACTGGAACCCGCTACTGAATTGGAAAGTGAACGGGCTACGCACGCCGGGAGAGAACTATAACAGGGAGTTTTAGTAGACCGTGTTTCCCGCTCCGCTAGCCCTCCGCTACGAAGAAACCGCCACTGCGCTTGCGCGCCGATGGCCTTGGCTGTAGAGTTCCGGGTAGCGGATGGGCTTAGCGGAGCGGGAAACACGGTCTACTAAATCTCGCTAATGACGGCTGCAGCTTACGTCAGAAATGTTCCAAACGGGAAAACCAATGTGCACAAACCGCTACCCGGCATCCATCTTAAAAAATAAGCTCCGCACCAAAATTAAGACCGAAGAAGACAGTGCGCGTGGTAATCTTTGCACTGAAATTACAGATGAATATAGTTTTATCCTTAAAATACACAAACAAAATATTAGTGCGTTAAATACGTTTTCAGAAGCGATTTGTGTGGAGTTGAGGTACCTAATAATCCAAAAAAGTAAAAAACAGAAAATGTCTTTTTTTCTTGAACAGGTTTTGGTTAAAGACCATTAACAGATGTTTTCTGTATGACAACAGAAAATGTCTGTAAAATGCTTGTAATTTCACAGATATGTTTTACAGTAGCCTACAACATAAAGTCTGTAAAACCGTCAGACTTTGCACTACACTCGACGTGCTTCCTTACAGAAGTGGAATAAGAAATCTGCATCAACGCAATCCCAGTTCATTAATCAACAACTCCTTTTCTGTGGAACGCCTGAGCGGTTCCATCACACCCTGCTCTTTTATCCGAGCGCACTCAATTTTCCTCGAGGTTCGCTAAAAAGTACTTAACCGCACTTCTTTTTTTTTTTAACCGGAAATTAAATGCGATTTCGTATTTTTTGTTTCTTCCTCCCTTCGTCTCCTCGCTTCACGGCATATCTGTACCGCCGAAACGCGGAAACGATAGGAACCACCCATTACAATGGGCGTCCCGCCTGGGTCTCGTTCAATTCTCTTTGATGTAGACTCGAGCCAATAGCACCTGGAAGACAAGGCCTGTTGCCAAAACGTCGTCACTATAGTAGATCCACGCAGCGTGGCCCATAGCTCGCGTCAGTATCGCCGCTAGTGCGTCTTGCAGGGTCTTACAAGTGCGACGCTGAGCACGTGGCGACGCCAGACACAGGCGTCTGCCACTTTATGGCGACTCTTGCCGAGCTTCAGCACGTTTGCGGCTTGGGGCGGGCCCACGAGCGATGACGTCATCAGCAGGCCTTGCGTTGAGCGCGACGGCAAACGATCGACGTTCGACACGGCGATTCCGAACAAAAGGCGCCGTCTTATTTCCTGGTGCTTCGGAGAAGCGTGACGGCTGAAACTGACCATTCAGTGCGGGATGCGCTTTTGGTCACGTGGTTTCTTGGCGCTGTTCTCGTTATGAAGACGCCTATAAAAGCGACGAGACGGCAGAAGGGATTCGTCTTTCGCGCGCGTGGATGTAACCGGGGGTTTTAGCAGCTTCAACATGAGGACAATCGTGAGTATGAATGTCGAATTTTGGTGTTGCACTCGATATCACTATCGTCTGGTTTAACTTTTATTAAGCAGGCGTGAAACTCGCATAAATTTTTTTTGTGTGCTTGGGACACACACACACACACACACACACACACACACACACACACACACACACACACACACACACACACACAAACAGACAATGTTTTCTTCACATTAACTGAAGAGCGTGTTGGTAACAATGACGGGCAACAGAAAGAATAAAACAAACTTCGCCCAAGTGTGGCCCTTGCGGTCAGGACCAAACTCCAAAGTTACAAAACCTACCGTTATTGAATTCAAAAGTTATAACCCATTTCTGCAAATCTTCAGCGAAGAAACGGCAAACTCCACCGGCCTTATATTCTCATTTGAAAATTTCCGAAAATCGCTGATAACTTTCGAATTAGATGAGAGTAAGTCCCGGAACTTTGCCATCGTGTGCGAATCGGTAGCGGTACATTTGGGCGGATAATTGTGCGGTGAGAAAAACACGCTTCTTTTTCTAACCATGATGGTGCCATCATATATCTGAACTACAGACTGAACCTTACACATATCCTTGTCTTTCTTCCAATAGCTGCTAGCTATGGTGATCTTGCTGGACGCAATGGCTGCAGTCAACGCTGGTCATCTGGAACACCACCACGAAGACCTCGGCCACCACGAACACCACGGATTCCACTTCAGTCACGCCCAGAGCTACATCTATGACAACCAGAAAGCACATCACGGATATGGGGGACACGACGAACACGGAGGAGGTGGCTTCCGCCGCTGAGAATGACTATCGGAGGCCTCGATACTCGCCATGTGGTACGTCATTGTTGTCGATGTTGGCTAAATGTCCTCTTTAATGCGCCTTTAAGCCAAGGTTTTACTGCTCATACATCATACAGAAAACACTGTCTATACCGACATTGTCTGATACGCGTTTCTTCCTTTATGACACATTGGTGATTCAGAAACTGCCCGCAGACATGCTTGAGCGCCGTGACACTGAGCATGAACGTGTGAGAGCGCATACTTTTTTTTTTTTTTACGTCTAAGTATATGTTAGGGCGTGCCATTCGTCGAGTTCCCCTCGTAGATGGCAGAGATTGGCCGTCCGGAGTGCCTCCTGGGAAAGTAAACGCTCTAGATTTTTTAGATTGTAGTCCGTTGCAACTTAGGTGCTATACAACACGGCACTCCCCCCCCCCCCCCCCCCCCATTAAAAACGGCAAACGGAATACCGCCCCCCCAACCCCCCCCCCCAAAAAAAAAAAAAAAAGAGAAAATTCCGAAAGAAAAAATGTGTTATTGAATCTCGGTACAAAAACGCGCAACTCTTCATTCGTCAAGGGAGGGGTAGAGCATCCGTTATCTCCACCTTGTACCCAATGCGCACCGACTCATTAAACAATAGAGAAAAGACAGCGTTACGTTCGGAGCCTCTCCTGCAATTCGTAGGGGCCCGATACCTTATGGTCACTTCGAGCTTGAGGAACGCACGGCGTGACTTACTATGTTCGCACGTCTTGCTTCGGGATTCGATCTTCGGCACTCTTCTCGACTAACGCCGCAACCTTGTTTGCTGGAGGCCGATAATTAGAAGCCCGAGACCTGCCACTTCCTGGGTGTCTTAAGGTGTCGGCGACTGTGGGGTGCCTTTTACGTGTACGCACCTACTTCACCCTCTTACTCTTTCCTCTATGATTATTCAAAGTGTGCCACGATTAGCTAAACGTATCGAGCCAAAATCAAATCACTGATGCGACCGTGCGCGGCACAACAGGCATCTTTCTTACGTCAGAATTTAATTTATAAAAGGAAAGTTTTCAGTTACCTTTCAGCGCAAGACACGGCTGTCAATGAAACAACCGCGCTTTGAGTTGGACGATGGATGGCCGAATTGTCCCATCAGCGGGTCAAGCGACAGGGGGGAATAAGATACCTCATATCGTAAAAAAGAGAATGATAGTAGATTGACTTCAGATATACAGAAAAAGGTGGACATCCCAACAAGAGAGGGGAATAATTAAGAAAACATTTTTCGCGTTTCAAATGCCGAGTAAGCACAAAAAAAGAACAACAACAAACAAAGGTAGTAGCTTGAAAACGAACTTTCTAGGAAGATTAATACGAGCCGATGTTTCACTAAGAGACCTGGCTATGTATGAAGGCGCAATAAAGAAGCCAGGTCTCTTAGCCGAACGTTGCCGTCCATTCCAGAGCCCATCAAGAACTTCCCTTAGAAAATCTTGTAACTGCTAGAAAGATGAGGGCCATGTGTCGTGTAAAAGAGAATTTGTACCAGATGAAACGTGCAGGTGGCTATTTAGATCAACTCGAGGAATTAACTTGCGCGAGACTGCGTTAAAATGACCCTTGGCAAAGCTACTACGGGCCAGGATCATCAGCCTTTGCAGTCTTTTTTTTTTGTACGTGTAGAATCAACAGGGGAGATCTGGGAGTCTTTCCATGTGCAGTTCAGGTTTTTAAAAAAAAAAAAAAAAAAAAAAAAACCCGACAAAGCATACAAACGTAGTAAAAATAAACAGTATTTTAGTAGTGACATGATTTTTTTTTGTTGCTTTACAGTGAAAAAGTCAACAGTGCTCATGACCGGTGGAATCAACATTCGCCACCCCAAAACTTCAAGTTGTAAATATGTAAAAAAAAAAAGAAACAATAAAAAAGAAAACAAAAAGGATAGAGGAGTGCCTCTTTCTGCTAGAAATGTATAAACGAAATTTAGAGGTGTAATTAATATAACCAGTAATAATATATATATATATATATATATATATATATTATATGGCAAGTGTCTTCTTGAATGACGGAGCTGAGAGGGCAAGGTGAAAGCCCTGATGACGTCTGTTGTCCAACCACCCGGTGCTGGAAGAGCGCACGAGCACACGCACACACAGACATGTCAACCACACCCGCGCACGGACGTCCAAGCCTTCGGTGTTCAAAAGCTGCGATAAAGAAAACAGCATGCTCGAAGCACAGTAGTATGTTGCCCGATGTTGCAAGATAATGCGTGATATAGCTAATCAAATTGGATTCGACGCTACGCTTTTGTTACGGTCGCCGTCTATACATGTAAGCCACGTAACGTGTACACAAAGTCGACCGACGGACGGAAATTGTGTGGCCCCGTATTCTTTTCGCCCGGAAATCGTGGGCACTTTGTTTGACCCGGATCGAGAACTCAAGCAGAATTGGAAGATTTGACAGCCGCGCTATTCTCGAAAAGTAAATGAACAGTATCGGCTAGACAGGGAGGAGCCCCTATGCTTCTTTCACCCCCAAGCTGGCAGTGTGGTGCGAGCGACGCGCTCACCGAGCCAATGCAAAACCTCACTTTCAAGGCCTGAGCCCGCTCTCTGCGCGTGGGTGCGGGCTGGAGCAAGACCACGTGGCGAACGATATACTTATGGTTGGTCCAACGAGCACCTATATAGCTTTCAACGCACTGTCAGCTTAGGGGTGAACGGAACATAGATCAGGCTTTGACGGGAACCGTCCAGTCGTGACTGCGGGCCAAGGTGTGTCGTCAAAACAGACCGTTACGTCACCCACTGAATCCGTTTCCCACCATTGCATGGCTATATAAGAAGCGTAGCTCTGTCCGGCCGCTGAGAACATTCGTCTTTAGGATTCCCTTTGGTGACCCTGGAGAAAGCATGAGTTTCCTTGTACGTGAGTCAAGCCATTCCTGCAACTAACGTGTAGTGAAATATTTTCTGTTTTGAGTATGAAACATAGTTTAGAGGTCTTTTCAGGCGTCTGGTCTTCACATATACAGCTGAAATGGTCGCGTCAAACGCAAAGGCGATTTCATTGAAATTTAAAATGTTAATGATTTCTTTAAAATTTACCTTTAGACTCGAGTATAAGATTATTCTTTGAGTGCTCATAGTTGAAAATCTTGCGACAAAGCTGTAGATATCATAAACTATACCCGCTGTTTAGGCTTTTCGTGGTCGCGAGGTTCCTAATGGGGCATTATTGAAATATTGTCTCTTGTGACTGTTTTATCGAAAAATATTGTTTAAGTTAGGGTGAACAATGCTTGTCTATTAAAACAACAACGTTTCAATTTACATTAATCCTTTTATTTTGAAGAATGTGGTCATGGGTAGATAAGGTACGAATACACGAAAGGACAAAAACACAGGACTTCTTTCATTTAGCAACAACATATGGTGTTGCTAAATGAGAGAAGTTTTGTTTCCGTCCCTGCCTTTATGTTTTTATCCTTTTATGCATTCGTATCTAATTCAGCAACACATTGGTTTTCAATTATAGAGTAGATAAACAAGTTTATTGATGTAGCACATGTTCAAATTGCAAATACACTGATCGATGCTAACAACATTGAATGGGTGTAAAAAAGTGTCGCGTACATCACATGATTTACAAGACGCTTTTACCTCCTGATGTCTCGTACACTCCACTCGTTATGTTCAGCGATATCAAGGGCACAGGGGTAAGATTGTCAACAGAGAATGGCATTGTTTCTAGACCACTTTCTCAAGCAAAGCTCATCTCTAAAGCTATGTGTTAGTGGCCACATGCCTTCGGCATCACTGTGCAGAACTCTTGCAGATGAAGCGTATGCATTCAATCTTTTTCCAAAGGTTCTGAACGCCGCCATATTAATGGTCCTGGTGTTGGTTAACGCCGGTGGCTACGGAGGCTACGGCGGCGGTTCGGGCACAACTCACCACTACGACAACCAGAGAGCAGGTGGCTATGGAGGTGGCTACGGCGGCGGCTACGGCGGTGGATACGGTGGTGGCTATGGCGGGGGCTACGGAGGCGGCTACGGACTTGGAGGATTCGGATACGGTGGAGGCTACGGCGGCGGATATGGAAGAGGTTTCAAGTACGGCGTGTCGGTGTCCCATGGTGGATACGGTGGCTATCATGGATAGATTTTGGGCAAACTGTAGTATTTTTTTTCTTTTTCGAAAGGGTAGTTGGCTTGACTGAATGGTAACTTAGCAGTGGTCCGATATTCGACTCTTCTTAAGCCCCCTGTTGCTAGAAGTGTTTCCGTTTGTGAAATAAAATATATTTCCAAGCCCAATATGTCTATGTGTTTCTGCGCTTTTTTTTTAAACACTTTCGACATAATTCTTTTTGCGTACATACTATTTCTACCTTATATACTTGTCTTATCTAAACAAGAACAAAAATTTCACAGCAAATCATTTTATGAAAATCATTATTTGTGATCGCACAACAAAATAGTGCCTTTATGTATTTTTTTTATTTCTTGCATACTGTTGGTCTTCTCCGTCCATCGACACAAAAGAGTTATGTGAAGTAAATTCCTTTAACCTCTTCGTACAGTCATGCTGAATTTACTCCATTCATTTCTTTTTATATTCTGTCAACATCAATCTAAAAAATGTACCGCGAATTGCCCTACAATTGTGCTGCTACATGAAACTTTCTTGGTTTAGCGCTAGTGGTTTGGCACCACTAGCGCTAAACCAATTGTTTAGTGGAGTTAGAGTTAGTTAGAGTTAGAGCTAGTGAGCTGGAGTTAAATTAGTTAGAGTCAGTTAGAATCAGTTAGAGCTAGTTAGAGCTGGAGTTGGAGTTAGAGTCAGAGTTAGAGGTGCTAACTAACAAGCGGGTACGCTTTTTGTGGCTTCCACTTTACCTGAAAACCTAACCTGAAAACGTTCCACGTTAATGAAAAAAAAATAATAAACGCGCCCAAAGGGCAGCAAAGCACTCTTACAAGGGAATGCTCGCTATATGTACTGACAGCGTAAGAAATGAAAGGTGCGGCTTATCGCGTTTCTTGCTTCGTGATTGGTTATTCGTCTTTCTTATTGGCTAATGCTGCACTCTCATTGGCTGCGGGTAGATAATGTGATGATCAGGACTCGCCATGCCCTGATTTTTTAGAAGTTATCAGTGACTATAGTTACTTTCAAACGTAGAGTCTTTGTGCTGGTGGCCAGACAGTCCAAACAAAGAGCGTGACTCGATGTGTTTATTTCCGTTTGTAAAGCAGGTCCAATATTGGACGTGTAGCGCGCTACTAAAATGCATGCAGCGGAAGCAGACGTCGATGTAATTTATTTACACTAAAAATTCCCATGAGTGTGCTTTCTTGTAGAGCACGCAGGACGCCAAATGAGAGAGCTGAAAACGTAGTGAGAGAAAACATTTTGACTGCGGTGTGGCGATGACTACGACCCTTTATTTGCTTACGTCCTGCTCGCACACTTCAATTTGAAATCGAAACGTTCCTTCCCGATATTGTGAAAAGATATAACTTACTGACCATCCGCGCAGTCTCGGTCGAAAGCAGACGTAGCATTTTAGGGTTGGGCTACAGCTGCGTTGGCTGCTACGATTTAATTGTTTTAAAATTACACTCATCATGAATTTACAGGTCGGCTGGCACATGTTGGTTTCTGGCATGGACGTGTATGCAGTAAGCAGTAGTTCACCGAGGGTGAGGGTGGAAGGGGGGGGGGGGGTTAAAAGATGTAAAAACACGCCGGTGTCGTTCAAGAGGAAGGTCAGCAGTTCATCCCAATTCATTCCAGACACCGCTATTACTACGTCACTTCGTTAACTCCAGCTTTTGTCTTCCGCCGGACTCTGCAGCTGGTATAGGCGTTTAAAGAGCAAAGCAAACCACTTTACCCTGTTAGAACTTATGATGAGTTGCAATGAACGCTACGGGTCACTGCAACCTATCCAATGTCGTCTGTATGTCAGGTGACTTTCTGGAGCGGAGCACCGGCGCGCGGGACGCGTATTCGGCGATACGTTCACAGTGTTGGATTGGCTAAGACGGCTCGTAACGTCCATAGCGAGCTATTGCAAGGGAAAACGGACTACAGTCAAAGGTGCCATTTAACGAGGAAGTCGAGTAAGTCAAGCCGAAACATTTTATTTTTCGTCAGCTGCCCAAGGTGACGGGATCAAAAGCACTCCCACGAAACACCACAATAGAAAGTTTTTTTTCTTTGTTTGTTGTTTTGTTTCTGCAGCTTTTCACTCGAAAACTGCAGAAAGCAACAAAGAAAATTTGTTCGGCGCATATCTCCACACTTCGTACACACATTTAGTTTTTTTTTTTTTTTTTTTTTTTTTCTCCGCAAAAGCGCGGTCGCCACTTCGAGGGGAAACGTCAAGTGTAGGTTATCTCTGACATGTTACGAAGGCGTATTTAATGGACCGTGCCTACCTCGGGAACCAGTCTTAAAGCGACAATTTTCGTTTTGGTACACCACGTGGAGGCTGAGACACTCGAAAGCGCTGCCCGATCGGTCGCCCTTCGGGGCAGTATAAAAGGGAGACCCTGGGAGGCCGAGAAGTCAGTTCCTTCCGCAACTCCGCAGCAGTTTAACCATGAGGACTCTGGTGAGTACAGCCCGGAGTTATGACACCTCGCACTGGATACCCCCGGATACTGTTGCTTCAAACCTTTCTAGAACTCTCTTCCTTAAAAAATAGCATTGTGTCTTTAACTTTAAAGGCCTGTTCACACACTTGGGTTTGCTGAGGACCGACGGCGAGAAAACACGCTGGCATACTGGCGACATCTGTGAGGTGGCCCTAAAACTGCGTTTCACTAGAGCGAAGGTTTCGAGGCATTTGCAACATCAAATGTACGTACAATCTATGAGATGTGGTCGTTTATAAGTTACAACGTTGTCACAAGTTTTTCGGGCTAAAAAAGAAAGAAAGATGCGCTAAAGAACATGAAGAAGGAAGAGCAGCGGAGCTGTACTATGAGCGATCTATGAGAGACGGCGGCAACCAGACAACGGGCAAGCCGGTTGTTTGGTTGCCGCCGCGGTTCATAGATGGCAGAAGCTGTCCAGAGGGTTGTGTCGAGATGTATTTGTCCACGAACACGAAACTAGGAACGCAGCCCTTAACACGTCCTTTGTAAAAAGAAGAAAATATACGGAGACTGCATGCAAATGTTCCACGGCTTCCTGATAGATAGCGGCAGTGTGTTCTCGCGCTAAAAAGAGATTTTAGGAAGTTTTAAGGCACGCGGTCTGAAGCAGTAGCAAGCGTATGACCCAGCCTTAACACGGAGTTCTGTTGCGTGAAGATTATGTTACGTGACTGATAGCAGGGATTGTATTCGCCTATGTTTGTGCTAGCGGCTTCAGTGAGGTCGCCATGCACGGTAAAAGCCTCGATTGAATCCGTAAAGTAAGAACAGATATTGACGAAGTAGAACGCGTACAGTCCCATGACAATGTAAACGTTTTTTGTTTCACACAATAGGTCACCTTTTTGAAACAGATGACGTTACGAATATCTTCTGGCACCCCATTGCAAAACACCCTGGGAGGTTTAAGAGAGAAATTGTCTTTTTGGTTTTTAAAGGAAGCTAGCAACGTTGAATGTAACCTTGCAGTTAATTGCCAGATATTTCGCTATTCAATAATTGTCCAAATAAACCGACGAAGAGGATGATGAAATAATAGTAACATAAAAAGAATCGCCTTGATTTTATAACAGAGGAAACTTTCATGGCTAATTCGTTTAGATGACTCTAGTCGCTAACCGCGTTATTGCTCGGCAGTTAATAAGATGACGACATTCTGCATCCAGAACACAAAAGAAGGAACGACGAGGCAAGTAAAGTGGTGAAAATAAAGCACGCCCTGAGTTTCTTCAGCTTTCATTCACTGTAAAAATGTACCCCACAAACTGAAAAAAAAAACACAAAAAAAACAAAAACAAAAACAACAAGCGGTGTATATAACATGGGAAAGTATTTCATGCCAACTTTGTTCGCTGATGGCAGTTCAGCGGAACAAATGAAAGCATCGCGTCTCTGTAGCTATCCATGACAGACTGACAGTCGAAAATACGCAAGAGTCGACAAACCATTCGCTACGTTGTATTGGCTGAAGCTGCAATATTGCTTATCGAAAAGAAATAATAATTATCGGTGCTGATTGGGGCCTACATTTCCGGTCTCATCGGTGCAACTTTCGTAGGATTCTAATAAACTGTTTAGTAATTGGCAGCTTAGTGTCGACACTGCGTCACTGATGTAATGACCCCAAGGGATAATGCCATTATAGGGACCAAGTGTAGGTCCTACACATTTATTTACACTATTTACACTTTACAATATCTAACGCTATGAAAGATATCTTCGGAGGAGTTGCTTTGGTACCCACCGAGATCGTCGGCCGTGCTGCACGCTCTGTCCAGTGTCGTGCGCTCCCCGACCATGCGCTCCTCTTCTCTTCTTGGCGCTCGGCGCCTTACACCATTATCACTCTTCAATTGTTGAAAAGTGGTGAGCTGGGCAAGTTAGTATGATGACATTTTTAATATGACAGCGCACGAAGGACAAAGAAAAAGGATTGGTGTGTTTATGTTTAAACAGCCGGAAGTTAGTCTGCCTCGTTGGGGCGTCTAGTGTCTGAGCTGTAGATGAGCAATTTAGCCAATGCTGTAGAACTGCTAGCCTGGGGTCTTGAACTGCACCACGCTGTAGTGATACACGACCGCACGCCGGTACGATGCTCCTCCAGATCGAAACGGGCAGGGGTGGGGATTGAGCCAAGGATCTTTGGGCTCTGCAGCGTGAGCTTTCACTCAGGAAAAAAAGCAAAAGAACGCAGGAGACACAAGTGCTGACCTGCGTTTTTATATCGCGTGCCTTTTCGATGATTTCGTCTTCTTTCTTCGTTTATTATATTTCGATTGCGAGTCAGCGCTTGCGTGTCTTGTACGTTCCTTTTCTTCCTTTTTGCGCTGTTATGTCCAACAAGCTACTCTCCAATTGTGCATGATTAGTGTCATATTAAAATTCAAATTGCGTCAGTCGTATTTTTGCGAAAGCAAACAAGTGAAATTTTGCTTTTTGCCCCCAAAGTTTAATGCTTTTAGTGAGATAGCGGTGTTGTGATAAGAGCCTTCA